GTCTGCGGGTGACGTCATTACTATAAGCTGATGATAGTAACATCACTTGCAGGCTCAGAATTGGATGGAGAGGGAGTAAGGGAAGTATGACACAATTGACGTATCAAATAACTCAGCATAATCAGATTATGTTTGATTATCCTCGCGATAAATTGCCTATTGTATAACCATTTTAGGAGCAAATAGCTATTTATGTACCAAGGGGATTATGTAGATCATAATGCCCGAAGGCGAAACTAGCCCGAGGGCCTATGGCCCGAGGGATATATTTCGCCTGAAGGGCATTATAATCTTGAAATCCCCGTGGTGCATACAATGCTTTATTTTCTACTCAACACAATGTTTTTTCATCAATTTGTTATTAACAAAATCAGTTAAAATTGTGTGACAGAATATTGTTTTGTATTTTGACATGTACCTGCACCTGACCTGTACCTGTACCTGCGACCTGTACATAGAAACGAAATAAATTAATATATCTATAAACATCTCATAAGGCAAGGCAACGGTGGTGGTCCTGTGGGTTAACGCGCTGGACTACATGGGAAACATTGATGGTAGACCGGGTTCGAATCCTGGCTAGACCGAAAATTATTTTCGGTCAGACATTTAGTGGCTGCCTAGGGTAAAGTGCAAATTAATAGAACAACAACAACAAAAACACCTTAAGGTATTATAAGCGGGCCTTATAGATCATAACGCCCGCAAAAGCGGGCGTTATGGATCAGGTTGTTATAGGTGTGTTAACGTATTTCGTTTCCTAGGTATTATGGATCTATATTAGTAAAGTAGAAAATAAATATGATTATATTATGTTTCCTAGGTGCAAAAGCTATTCTGTTCTCGAGACGCCGAGATATTTGGTGAATTATTAGCACGTACCATGTCATCAGGGGGACTATTTATACAGGGGTGGTAAAAAGCACCAGAACAGTTGAATCTCTTTCAAACCCGCTTAAAAAAACTGCATTCTCAAATTTCATTATCTGGAAGATTCCGGACATACAAAATTAAATGATTCAATGATATCGGCGCTACTGTCAGATCTACCAGCTTTACCCTACATCATTGTCCAATTTCGTTTGCCCAGAAACCTCCAGATAACGATCTGGGAAAGCAGCATAAGTGGGTTTGAAGAGATTCAACCGTTCCGGTATTTTTTACCATACCCCCGTATAAGTAGCCTCCTTATGACGTGGTACGTGCTAATAATTCACCAAATATCTCGGTGTCTCGAGAACAGAATAGCTTTTCCACCTAGGAAATATAATATAATCATATTTTGCTCTCAGAATGGTTATACAATAAAGCAGAGAAAGATTGGTGCCATATCAATTAACAAAGAAAACTTGTGCCCCCTATCCTATAAATTGCAGTTCATGTTACCTACGTGTTACGACCCGTGCTATCTTTAGTTACTCTGAGGCGCAATTATCTTTATGTACCTCCCAATAATTGGTATTAAAAATTTATTTATTTTTTCATCCTGTATAAAATCTTAAAACAAAAAAAGCGAACTACTGATTCTGCTTAAACCTAGAAAAAAAGCAGGAGTATGTTTGAAAAGAAATGGTGACGTCCTGAAATTTGTCAAACTTTCCACTGTTTCATTGTCCACCCTGTATGTTGAAGATAACGTTTCTGTTTATCAGCGCGATACATACACCTTGAGCACCAAGCAATGCGCCCCAATATGCTTCAAACCGTAATCAAATATCTCTTATACTTTCTGAGATATTTGACTTCAAAAATAGGCAAAAAATTTCTTTATGCGTATCGAAGTTCCAGCAGTTTAGTCTGTGACATGTTGTAGACATTTATGAGTTGACAGTATCACTAGAAATAGTTATTTTCCTAACAAGTGCGCAAAGTGTTACCTTTCCGCACGTGCTAGGAACAAAATTTTTCCTACGAGCTTCATATCAGGTAGGTACCAACAAATATTTAAAAAGAAACCATAATTTGTTCAATTACATATTTTCAATTAATCTGAAGCGAACCTATTCATTCATCAATAAATTACAAAATTACATAACAAAAAAAAAAGAACAGAAAATCGAAATCCTCGTCAGAGCTGTTCATCTTGAAGCGTTTAAATTTGATGCGAAAGAAGTTAGTAGATTCTTGAACAGGGGCGGATGGGGCCCCTCAGACCGGCGCGGAAAGTGGATTGAAACGGCGCCGCGCCTCTCTAGCAAAAAATATTGAAAAACACGAGTGATCGACTTCTGCGCATACCTGTTGCGCATATACTGTTGGTTTAAATATAGACAAGACGACAAAAGTACTCTTTTTGCTGATAATCTGAGCCGCGCCGCTCGAGGGTCTGTTTTCACAAGTTACAGAAATTACAAACCAGTCACAGCGTTTTCGATTGGTGCAAATTGCCAACAACCAGTTTTCTGACTACATATTTTCAACCAATGAAATTCGCTCCTACTGGTTTGTGATTTCTGTGAGAGCAGACATAAGCTCTGTTTCCACAGAAATCACAAACCAGTCAGAGCGTTTTTGATTGGTTCAAACCGCCAACAACCAGTTTACTGACTATTCTCAATCAATGAAATTCGCTCTGACTGGTTTGTGATTTCGGTGGAAACAGAGCGTTAGTGTACGGCGACAAGATTCTCCTGTCGCCCGTCCTTTTCTACTCCATAACCAAAACAATCAAAGAGTGCTTTGATTACGAAAACGAACGTCGCATTATTGTTTCTTTATTGGTCAGGATTGTTGACATAACATTTTGACATTGAAGTTTATTAGTCCGCCATACACACACGTTATTTCGCGCGGTTTATCGTGTCATCTGCAAAAACCTGTGAAAAATCATGTATAGTCTATCGTTTCTCAAATGAGACAAGGCAAAAATTGGGGTCTCCTCAAATTATCGTATTGCCCCTTAAAATTATTATATTATTATTAGGAAAAATATATTGAGCGTGCCCGTATACATTGGATGCGATTCCACGTGCGAACAATGCATCTTATTGGTTGTTTTATACAGTCAACGTTGACTCCCGGAATATCTTATTGGTTAGAAACGGCGTATTTGGCGGCATATTTCTTTGAAGTGGCGGCGTCTTTGGCGGCATATTTCTTTGTAGCGGCCGCCTTTTGCGAAACAGTTTCGTCTGGAAAGACAGTGCAGTAGATAGTTTTTATAAATTTGATTCCTATTTGAGTTGTATCGTGCCTCATTTTTTATTTTATGTTTTGATTAATTTCTCTTACACGCCCGTGCTTCATAAAGAAAACGCCGACGGCCAAAGAAACTTTTTTTTTTTTACTGTCTCATTTGACTATCGATAGACTATATGTGAGTGAGAAGGGCTGCACGCAATGATAGGATGGCAAGGGATTTCACACGTGCTTTCATCTGGAATGTGGCGTCAGTACTCAAGTACCATCGTCACCAAAAGTAACTGGGACAGCATCACATTAGTTCTTGTCCTATTATATGAATTTTATTGTCAAATATTTGTCAAACTATGCATTAAATGCATTGAAATGAATGACAGAATTAGTCCAGGAGATTATTATGCATTATTGGTGTCCCAGTTACTTTTGGTGACGATGGTACATGATAGTGCAGTTCAAAACCGTGTCCACACGCCATTCCACGTCACGGTTTTGAGGCTAGTACGGAGACATAAACGCCGCGTAGCGAGCTATCACGTTGGAAATTAGTATCTACATGACAACATGCACTTCCAAACGACATGGTAAATGACTCATACACATACGGTTTTTCCTTTCCAACTGATATGCAGCGCGTTATCACGTGCTAAATCATTTGAATACTTTGTCAAGTATATGGAACATACGCTTTTTTTGCCACGCCGTTCTTCCGCGCGTGCAAAACGCTACATCTTAACACGCCACGATAAACCGCGCGAAATAACGTGTGTGTATGCCGACCTATTGACAAAATTACCGAAAAATATTGCTAATACATACGTTTTAAAAACCATAGTAATCTATGATTGCTTTTTTTTTGAAGACCCGCTACCTCAAAACGGAACACAGCAAGCACTGTAATTTGCCATGAAACATTAGGAATGGTATGGGCGCTTATAACATGCATACTTATTATTTACTCAGTTCCAAAGTGGCCAACTGCCAAATCAGTTAATAAATTAGATACCTGAATCTGGCTTTTTTGATTCTTCAATTATTTTGGAACTTCCCGCGGCGGCGCCAATCGGCGCCTGAAGGACCGGCGCACCGGAAATCTCCCGGCTTCCCGGTGGGCCCATCCGCCCCTGTTCTTGAATGAATGGAATGGAGAACACAAATCTGAAAATGTGTCAAAGTGATATTCAATATTCAGTGTTTGTATAGATCACAGTATAGATGTTGGCTGATATAGGATTTTCACGCTATGTTTAGGATGACGTCACATTTAGTAAATTTCTGCTGCAAATCTAACAAAACTAAAAGTACTTCTCAACGCATTCAAAGTAGGGGAATTTTAGATGTTTCTGGTTGGCAACGGCGCGCGATGTTGTATGATTTAAATGAATATTTTCAAATAAATTACGCGTGTCGATTCATTTCGTTATTTTTAGCTGTCCGGGGTCTTGATAATTCACTATGAAATTCTGGTAAATGATAAGAAAACAAATAGACATTGACAACATTGTCAGACCTTGCTCTCTGACGTCATTCTAAATATAACGTAAAAAACCTATATAGAAACAGAGGAAAGTTGACAGGTGCACTTATTGTTGCTTGACAATTGCCAATTATTTTTACTTTTCGGCACTCAGTGCGGATACATGCTTTATCCGCACTGAGTGCGGAAAAGTGTAACTTTGAGAACGGAAATGAGTGCGGAAAAGTACTACTTTGAGCACGCTCGTAGGAAAAAAAAAATACATTCCAAATTGATTGGTTTATTTCGCCATTTTGCTAAAAATGTGCAAAACTTTTGGACGATAACTGGAACTAGGAACTAGTTGATATTTAAATCGCCTAATAATAGGTACTTTCTATTTTAGGGGAGACAATACGAAACAGGAGCATCTTGTTGAAACTTACCTTAAATTATTAACAACAGCCTTAGAAGAAGAATACTTTATTAAAGATTATAATAAAACATACGATGTTGCCAATCAAAATGAAATGATTGAGAGCTGCTGTGATCTGTATCCTTTTCCATTGAGACTAAAAAAAAACTGTACTTATTAATTTTATTGTCCTTAACAGAACTCAAATAGGGATCCTACACGTACGAAATTCATAGTATCTTGCATTAATCGGCTACCGCGCGATAAAGTCTTACAAGAACTATCGAAATCGGGCCGAAGAACCCTGGAAGATGTCATTAGAGACTTTACTCCTGCTTTGGCAGAAATACCAAAAGTTGAGGAAGAGCAACCTTGTGCTTCAGGATCAAGATTGGCCTCAGCAAAACATAGTGAAATTGATGCACAAATACAAGATATTATTGATATGTTCCCTCATTTAGGAGACGGTGAGAATTATTTAGAATACTTTAAAGACATTCTGTTATGTGCTTGGAGGCTTATTACAAGACATTTTACATTTTAGTGTAGTTTTACAAAGTTCCAGACAATATAATATGTTCACCTGATTTGAAAATCACTTCTAGTTGATCACTTTTGCTCAAAGTTTTATCGTTTTACGAATTTGTATCATTAATAAAAAGTACAAAGCTGGAAAGTTAAATATTCAAGGACATAGTATAGGTTTAATAATTTTTCTGGGACCTGTTGATTTTCCTAAAAATTTATTATGACATTCATTATCTACCAATAGACTAAAGATACACTTTCAATATCCCGAGTGGAGCCTATTACTATTAACCTACTCAAGGGATTTAAAATTTCATTATGCAAAAAACGTTTAGGAAACTATACCTGAGAGCAGAAACTAACTTGTTGCCAGAATCTCGACAAGAATACAGTTTATCTCCCTTGGTATTTTTTCAGAAATGTATTCCCTCCATAAAATAGGCTTTTTGTACACTGAGATTGACCACTTTATGTTATGTCTCATCATATTCAAGGAATACTCTTTAGGTTTTGCCCTGCAATGTTTGGAAGCCTACAACTTCCAGACTCCGGATGTGATCAATGCTATATTAGAAGACAATTTACCACCTCACTTGGTGGAAATTCCGTTCGACAGTATTAGGATTCCACCAGAACCTGAACCGGAAAAACCAATTTTGGCATACAGAGGCAAGAAGCCAGATTATGACGACGCTTTAAAATTGCTCAATGATAAGAAGGAAAAGAAGGACATGAAGACTTTAGTCTTGGACATGATGTAAGTAGCATTCCAATTTCACGAGTAAATGTAAATTACTAATAGAAATTTTTAAAAAAAAGTTATTTCTGATTTTTGTATTTATTTTATTATATTGGAGTCACTTGAATAAAATTTTAATTTAGCCAATCCGATAATTACAACTACGACGATGACTTTGATGAGGAAGGACTCGATATGGTTGATGTACCCGTTCACGATAATCCAACTTGTGATGATCCGGAAACGGAAATATTTAACCCGAATAGACGGCCCCATAGACGTGGACAACCTGAGAGTGACAGTGAAGAATCTGAGGTAGGATAATCATTTTGTTTAGGTTTTGAGCATACAATTATTAATGTGGTCTATAGATATTCAATTATTTTATTAGGTAAATAATACACTCGATAGCAAAAGTCACATGGAACTTAAAATGACACAGACTACATCTCAAAACTGTGAGACTAGAAATATTTTACGTGCAACCACTGGTTTGTTTGGTTTTTATGCTTATGTTCTTATCGTTCCTTACATCAGCAGGCAACATATGCTTTTATAGCCACTATGAAAAATTTCCTCTTTCAAAAAAGTGGATTATGAAATGACATGATCTGTCTCGTTTCTATGATCATATTTTCCCTATAAAATGCCAATTTTTTAGAAACATTTGAGGATTTTCTTTTTCGAAGGGCACTAAAGTAAATTGAGCAATTGAACTTCCTGACTGACCAAATAATGACTTCTGCAAAATAAAAACATCTCCTGGTGAAACTTTGACATATATTCTGTTATAGTATATTTCCTAACTAGTGCGGAAAGTACCACGATTGCAGTTTGCCGAACGCCCCGCAGCGGAGTTCGGCAAGCAATCAAGTGCGGAAAAGAGACTTTCCGCACGAGTTAGGAACACAATTTTTTTCTACGAGATGAAAGGTAATATTTTTACCTCCATATTTATCAATTTAAGATTTTTTTTTCACTTTTTCGTACTTGTACCTGTAGTATACCTGTTTACCTGTAAGTGCCTGTATACCATAAGCTGTATAAACAAATACCATTTTAAAGTCACGTGATTTTTCTCTATCCTTGTTGAATACATCTCAAACAGGGTGATAGTAGAATTGACAAAAAAATTGGTGTCTAATTATTGTTCATAAAATTCTTACCTGAAATAGAATCCGTCACTGTCATCAATTAGTTTGTCAAAGTTATTTTCGAAAATGATACAACGAACAAACACAGCTAATAATTTCGACTATATTAACCTTTTTCCATCTCGAAAAGAAGCAAATAGAAAACGAGCACATAATTCAAGTTCAGAATGAATTACAACGGGCAGCAGATGCGTCAAAAGTGAGTCTCGCAACAATTGCAAGTATTAAAATTCCCATCTGATTGGTTAATATTACTTCAGAAACGCGTTTGTAAAATGCTAGTGGGAACATATCTTAAAATTCAATAGTTATTAACCACCAGTAACTTTTTGTAGGTGATATCAACGACATAATCAATGGACATACGTTTTTTGCCACCAAAATCACGTGACTTTAAAATGGTATTTGTCGGACTATACCTAAAAATTTCAGGTACAATTACCCCCATTACCCCCCCACCCCTTATGGATGCCTTTGAACTCAGGAAATTGGCAATATAAAGATCTGCAAAACGAAACATACCAAAGTATGTATTTACGATAAACAAAGACATCAAGACATGCTAGCAAGCAACAAAAACTATCATGATAGACGACTTTAATGCCCAGGTAGGTCGCAAGTAAGACTCCAAATAAAAAGTTGGCAATATCGAATATGTATCCAGAAACGAATAGAGAGAGCTCCTATGAATACCTTAAACCACCACATTGTATGCTAGTTTCCACATAAAAAAAGAACAGCAAAGTACATTCACAAAGAACAATGTCGACAAACTCTAACGCTCCAGGGAATATGGAACAGATAATGCCGAACTTAAGACTCTCTGATAAAATGAAAAACTCTTGGAGTAGAGCCCGACCAGGTTGGAGCATGTAGCATCAAAATGTCCATCTGAAATGGAGCTTCCCAGGAGCAGGACACCTTCAAAGAAAGAAGAATCACAAATGGAGCTCAGAACTTGAGTATATAATTGTGAGCTGGGTACAGATCAAGATGCACGCCACAGATCAGGTAAATCTACGATCTAAACAGTCGATCAGAATACCTATCTTAACATGGGTATTAGGTGTATCCATCCTGTCATTTGAGTTATCGCAAGCGCATATAGTTTATAAACAATTAAAACCTAATATAAACATAAACTCTGTCAAAGGTCTTAAAAAATAATTTTTATTATTAAAGTCTATTCATAAAGAAGAGAGAGTAATAAAACGATTGACACCCCATTTTTTCGAGCGTACCATTGGCGTAGGTGCTTTGCCAAGTCTTAAATTAAAAAAAAAAAAAAACAGAAAAAACACAGCAGTTAAAAATATATATTATATTTTAACCTGATAGAGAAATTGTTTATCATGTGTGTTCTGTTTTTGCACTATAATACGTAGGTATGCAGATAATGCCATTATAATCGTTTCAGCTGCATAATTAGAAGATCGTCTAAGTGAGGCTTAAGTAGCAATGTAATAATATAATTTTATGATTTTAAGAATTTTAGATTATTAGCATATTTTGTTTCTTCCTGGTATTATAGGTACTTATGCGATGGTTTTAAACATTATTTTTATTAGGTAATTAGGAGTAATTTTCTCTGAAATATTGAAGTTGACTACAAATCTGCTTTGCTTTTTATTATAGTTTTAACCTTTAAAGTGTATGCAGTATGTGTATCTAGAAAGTGAAAAAATATGGCTTCTACTCCGAGTACAAATAAAATTCATGCGGATTTAACGCTTAGAGAAAAACAAACTGTTCTTAGTGTGTTCGATAACCTGCGAAAAGATTATAAAACATTGACAGTGGATAAGTTGGTAACGAAGTGTTCTAATTTTACCCAATTTGGAAAATCAACTATTTACAGAATACTACATGAAAGAAAATTAGAACCATTAAAATCGCCGCTACCAAAGTCTGGGAGAAAAGCATTAAAATTTGATGATGATGAAAAAAAATGCATTAAGGCGGTTAGTTCATTCCTTTTATTTTAGAAAGGAAATTCCCACTGTTGATAAAGTTTTTGCTTCAATAAAACAAGATGGTAAGTTTCCAAATATTAGAAGAACCAAATTGTGGAAAACTTTAAGAGAAATTAATTTTTCTTGGGAAAAACATAACAGAAAGGCGGTTTTAATAGAAAGTGACGAGATAGTTTGCTGGAGAAGAAAATATTCAAGGCAAATTAGGCAATTTCGACGTGAGAACAAAAATATATATTTTCTTGATGAAACTTGGGTAAATGAAGGTAACACTGTTGACAAACACTGGCAAGAAAAAAATGTGAAAAGTGCCCGACAGGCATTCATGGAAGGTTGGTCGACAGGGCTGAAGCCGCCGTTAGGAAAGGGGAAACGTTTGATAATTATCCATATTGGCAATGAAAAAGGGTTTGTAAAAGGAGGTCTTTTGGTCTTTCCGTCAAACCATACTGGCGATTATCACGACGACATGAATGACGATACATTTGAAGAATATTTTCAGCAAATGTTAGACCTAATATCTCCTGGTTCAGTAATAGTAATGGACAACGCCAGTTACCATTCCAGAAACCTTGAAAAAGTACCAACCACAGCATGGAGAAAAGCTGATATTTGTAAGTGGCTTACAGAAAAAAACATAAATTTTGAGGCAGATATGGTAAAAAAAGAACTACTATTATTGGTAAATAGCCACAAAGAAAAATTCAATAAGAAAGTTGTCGATGATATGTGTAGCAAAACGCCCCAAGTACTCTATTTAATTAGTTAGATGGTAAATGGCGAGCGGTATAATGATGGTGTTTATTTCCTTGGAGCTGCTACCTATAAAATTGTGGAAGGGTCTATTTGCAAAAGAGAGAAACAAACTATTGAGGTTTACTAAATTATATTTTATTATACATAAAACCAAAAATTTTTAATCCGCAAAATTTCTTCCAATTCTGACAGCCTCATCTAGATTTCTAAATTCTATTACTTCACATCCGTTCAATATGTCATTATTACTGAAGGCGATTAAAGTTATGCAATAATGTTCCATAGATATTTCACTTTATAGTCATTCATTTTTTATAAAGTCAAAAGTTTTACTAGTAAAAATCACTCAAGTTTTAGGCATTGAAAGTCATTTGTTGATTCACTTCTTATCATTCAGAATCATTGATAAAAGTCAGAAAATAATTAACCACTAAAGTACTTACATTTAACTTTTCACACGTAAAATTACTTAATTACTTAAAATTTTTCCGCTACTTTTTCAAAGACTGTTACCGAGGCAGTACAAGAAACTTTCCGCGAATATTTTCTCGGACTGACACTTTAATACTGTAAATTTTAACTCAAACTGGACAGGACTGCGAACTCATCTCTCAACTGAATTCCACTTCTAAAACCGCGGTATTTATATTTAATCGATCCCCTACCAAATTTCTTTGTCCATGACAATTAGGATGATGCAATTTGCTTGAAATTTTTATCATTTTCAGCTTAAAAATCGAATAATTATGTGGCAATATCCTGATTTATATAGTCAATACATTGGTTCAGGAATGCCATAAATCATTTGATTTAATTATTATGGCCTCGTTAAAAAGTTCATTGATCGGATGTTTAGGAGATGACATCACGCTGGAGGAAATAATATAATTTCGAATGTATTTGGGGTCTCGTTAATTTGTTTCTTTTTCAATTTATCGATACTGATTTGGAAATACCGGAAATCCAGTTTTTGATTATTTGATATTATTTAATTTTTATAGTAAAGACGTTGTTATTTGTGGGTCTATTTTCTCGGAATATTACATATGGCTGAAAAACGAAACATAACAGTATTAAGACTGCCGCCTTACCATTGTGAACTTAATCCAATAGAATTAATATGGGCTCAAAGGAAAGGGTATGTAGCAAGGAATAATACTACCTATAAATAAAAGGATGTGGAGTACTTTTTCAAGAATCAGTTAAAAAAATAACTGCAAAGAAATGTCATAAATTTGTACATGTTTTAAAAGTAGAAGAAAACATGCGGAAACTTGATTGTTTAATCGAAGCTACTGTGGAACCTTTAATTATTTCTTTGGACGAAAATGGGAGTGATGATGAGAGTATACTGTTCTTCTGAATCTGAGTAATTTATTCCTATTTTATTTTTGACTGTTTTAAAGAAACGTAATAATTGACAGCCGTAACATTTTTTTTATGTACCAACCATTTGTTTAACCTTAATTTAATTTTTAGGTGTGCTTATTAATTATAGTTGAAACGCCAATTCGATTTTTTATATATATAATATAATATTACTTTTATTCCTAAAATGTATTTTTATTATTTAAATTTTTTTCTAATAAAGTAATTTGTTTTATTGAATTTCATAGAACTTTTTACATATTTACTATTTTCTTTACTAATACCTATAAACCACCATACTTGAAATGTAAGTTTCCCCCAATTGCGGCGCCTATGAGAATAGTTTATCCCTTGCCTTCTATTGTTCTCGGTTTTGGGTTCTATTGTATTCTCCCGTCGAACAGGGTGAGGTATATAAAAATGAAGGATTTTTACCTGAGGTACATTAGAAAATTTTTAAAAGAGAAGAAAAAATCATTGATCACTCAGTACAAAATTTATCGAAATTTGCATTTTTATTACTCTCTCTTTATGAACGCACTATAACTATGTTTTCTTAGGAGGAAGCAGCAGCTGCAGCAACTTCTTCAGAAAGAAACAGGCTCAATTTCTGCGACGATCCAGCTGCTATAAGAGAAAGACGAAATGCCAAGTTTGCAAGCAAACATCCACAATCCAGCAACCCGGCTAAACCTAAACCAGATGTTGTTGGTAGGTATTTTTAGCAGCAACGCTGAATTAATTTGTAAGTTATAGAATTGAAAATACAATTTGTTTTTTTTTTCAGGTAAAGCTAAGGGCCAGGGTCAAGAAAAATCTACACAGATTAATCGACAAAAGAAAAACGCAAATAAGTCAAGCAGGGCCAATCACAATAGGAAGAGTGGTGCCACATGGAAACGTAATAAAGGAATGATTCCTTCCTAAAAGCAAGTCTGGTTGTTTTCTATTATATGAAAAAGGTGCTCTAGGGTTGCCCTACATGTTGATCATGGTTGATGAAATATTTATCGTTTGTTGAGAATTCATATATTTTTTTTTTTTGGGCTTTTCTTTCAATTCAATCAACATCTTTTTTTTATTCGAACATGTTGAAATCGATTACAGGCTAGGCTGGCGGTACACAGGAGCTGTCATTTTTCCTATGATTTGTAAGCAATAATAAGCACTTTTCTTTGGGATAATGAATAAGATGTGTAGCGTAGCCAGCCTCAAATTTGGATCGAGAAAGTTGATTAAACCTGTTGTTCATCTGCAAATATAAGATATTTTGTACAAACAATAGTTTCGTTTCATTAAATATTTTTTCTATTACATTGCACGCTGTGATGGTTTATCGCATTTTTGACAGTAATGTGATGCATAAAGCTTACTTTTCATGCATCCGTTTTTCCGTCAATCCGATGATCCGGAAGTATTCATATTGGTCCAATATTTTGGCGGCAAAATATGAGTTTGGCTTTACACTCGATAAACTTCGAGATATAGATATAGATCCTGTTCGTTTTAGTTCTCAGAGTGTTCTCTTTTGCGTTCGGCTCATGACCATGCTCATACTGTTTCGCTCCGTGGAGTGCAAAGCCGAACTCAGCCAAAGAGAACGTCTGAAGGCGGTTACACACGGGCGTGGATGATGTCTTAAAACATGTTCGCACATACATGAACGCACAACCAAAAACATCAATGTGTATGCAAAATATCGTCGCGTTTTTGAAGTGGAATCGCTAGAAATTTTGTATGCACACTCGGATTACTGTAGCAAGAATAGCAAGACTGCAGTTTTGTGCGAGCGTCTGTACAAACGCGACATGCACGTTGTTGTTTGCACGTTGATGTATGCACGTATATGTATTAAGCCATCCACGCCCGTGTGTAACCGCCTTAAGACACACGGACGTGGATGGCTTGATACATTTACGTGCATACATCAACGTGCAAACAGCAACGTGCATGGCGCCTTTGAGGCGGTTACACACGGACGTGGATGTCTGAAAGCATGTACGCACATACATGAACGCGCAAACAAAAACATCATGTGATATCTTGGGGGTTAAGGCTAAATGAGAGTCCGAACACTTTCGTATAATACTGCTTTATTTCGCGTCGGTTAGGGACAGAGCACATAGATTACACAATACTTGTTTATTAGGTTATTTCAATGCTACCAAAAGAGGCAGAGACGTCTGTACGTCCGCTATTTATATGCGACCCTTGACAAGGCAATGTTGCCGCGTTGCCACACTCCCCCACTCCTAAATTCTTGCACAACCCTTGTGAGCAAAGGCTTCTTTAAAAGCTTACAGTGTGGTTTTAAAATGTGCTTCTTCAGGAGTGAAGTGGCGTTTAAACCCACATTATGTAATGCAGGCATTTATGCATGACTTAAACTACATACATAGTAATTCTGGTATTTGTACCTAGGTGACAACAAACCCCCTAGCTCTGGATGCTTGTTAGGTTAGTGACGTTTACATTTTGTAATGTACCTCTGAGCATTCTGGAGTCTCGAGTCTGCCCTCACCCTGAGATACTTTCTACATTCTACTTGAACAGAAAAAGAAAAATAAATGAAAATAAATGGAATACAGAAAAGAAGGAATTGTGCCCTAACCAACAAGATTGAACACTGCTACACATAAAATATAAAATTATACATACATAAGATAAAATAAACATGAAGTACACAATATGTGCTTGTCAAATTACTTACAAACCTAACAGTAATGCTTATTGCATTCTAAGTCCATTCAGTCTTTATTGAGTATATTCAGACAGGTATGATGGTGTTCTCAGCTGCCTTTTTGGCCTTAAATCTGGCATTTTACTACTGGATTGTCCAGTTTCGTCAATCAAGACCCTACTATGACCAGAGGTGCTTGGAACATCATCACTTACTGCCTCAAAAGTTTTAGCTATTAAAACAGATGACTGCTGAGAGTTTGACACCACTGCATTTAGAAAATTTTCGTCAGAGTCAGAGGCGGTACTATGAAAGCTGGTGTTGCTGAGCTCATGATCGTCCTGACTCTGTACGTCGCCCACACCGGACTCTTCAACTTGAGGCAGAGATGTTGGGATATTGATAAAATAGGGAGAGTTATTAAAGCTGACTTTTTTGTTCATATCTTTTTTTGAGACAGAGACTGGGGCTTCATTAGGATTCTGAAAATCTGCAATAGAGTTTGAGTTTTTGGTGTCCAGCTCCACTGGCTTTCCTGAAGGCAAGTATTTATGAATTTGGTTGCTATGACGAAGCCACAGTTGTCCTGTCGACAACCTGCACATGTAGGTGTTTCTTCCAATTTTCTTGGATATCCTTGCTTGAGACCACTTTCTTCCCCGACTACCTGTGTAATCTGCGATAAAAACTTTTTCACCATTTTCAAAATGTCTAGTATTTCCACCGTGATACTGTATTTGGCGATGCTGTGCGATCTTCGCTTGATGTAATCCTACTTTTTCTGAGTTTTCTCGGTCTTTGTATGGTAATTCTTCAATTTGGGATAGTCTTGTCCTGGCTTCTCTGCCATACATCAAGTAATGTGGTGTTTTGTTTGTTGAGGAGTGTGGTGTTGTCCTATAGGACATCAGGAATCTGGAAATGAGGGTTTCCAGAGGTAGTTGTTTATTTCTCGGGTCTTGCAACGCTGTCTTAACCTTGCTCTTAAAGGTTCTCACTGCATTCTCTGCTGCTCCGTTACTCCTAGGATTATACGTTGGAGAGGTAAGATGTTTAATTCCGTTTTTGGCAAAAAATTTCTTTAAGCTGGCAGACACAAACATGCTGCCGTTATCGCTTACTACTGTTTCCGGCAATCCAAATCTGGCGAAAGTCTTGCGCAGCTTTGACTCAGTCTCAAAAGCTGAAGTGTTTTTCATGAGGAAGACCTCTACCCATTTGCTGTAAGCATCTATAAGGATTAGAAAGTCCTTGCCCTTCAATGACAGAAAGTCTATGTTAATTCGTTCGAACGGTTTTGAGGCCAATGGCCATGGAGTCAAGCCTGATTTGGGCGGATTGTCCTTGTTTAGGATGCATATTTGACATGACTTTGCCAAATTTTCTATGTCTGAATCGATGCCGGGCCAGTATACATATGATCTTGCCAGGGCCTTCATCCTCGACATTCCCCAGTGAGATGTGTGAATTTCAGAAAGAATCTTTTTTCTCAGGGTTTCCGGCACAATTATTCGGTGAGAAAGTAGGAGTATTCCATTTTCCAGCGAAATTTCGTCCCGTCTGTTGTAGTATGGCCTTACACTTTCACTGATTTTGCCACTCCAACCATTTTCGATGCAGGCTTTCACACTCTCCAGGTCAGCATCAAGTAGAGTTTGTTGCTTGATTTCTTTGTTGTTAATTGGCCAATCCTCCTGGCACTCTGTGAAGTTCACGAACAACATCTCTGATTCCTTTCCTCTCTCTGCGTCTGGTGGTGGTGCTCTGCTAAAGTAATCTGCAACAAAATTTTGATCCCCTTTTATATACTGGATCTCGTAATCAAACATGGACAAAAATGCTGCCCATCTTTGCAGCCTGTTCGCCGACATCTGTGGGATTCCCCTGTGTTCGCCAAAAAGTGCTATCAAGGGTCGGCGATCAGTTTTCAAAATAAAGTGGTGCCCCGAAAGGTATTGATACAACTTGCTGACACCCCAGTATATGGCCAAGGCCTCTTTTTGGGTAGTGCAGTAAAGCTTCTCTGGGTCCGAAAGAGTCCGGGAGACGCAGGTGATCATTCTTTCCCTGCCATCAATTAGGTGCGAGAGCACTGCTGAAATGCCCACGTTTGATGCATCAGTGCTTAGGATGATGGGCAATTTTGGATCAAAGTGAACCAAAACCTCTTCGGAAGCTATAATTTCCTTGATTTCCCTGAATGCAGTTTCACAGCTATCGGTCCATTTGAATTGATGGTCTTTTTTTAGCAAATTGTATATGGGGCTTAATATTGTTGATATTCTTGGTACAAATTTAGAATAATATGACACCATTCCTACAAAACTTCGAACTTCTGTCAAATTTTCTGGCTGTTTAGCCTTCAGAACACTTCTAATTTTTGACTCACATTTCTTTATTCCCTCCTTGCTCACACGGAACCCCAAGTACTCCACTTCCTTCTGGAAGAAAAAACACTTTTCTCTTTTTAATGTGAAACCAGCATCTTGGAGTTTTTGAAAAACTTCCTCCAAGTTTCTCAGATGCTCTTCAGCAGTTTTCCCAGACACGATGATGTCATCGAGAAAAGGTATTGTTCCATTGACACCCTGAAGGAGCTGGTCCAATATTCGCTGAAAAATGCTAGTTGCTGTTTTAATGCCAAAGGGCAAGCGTTTGAAAGCAAACAATCCCTTTGGGGTGTTTATAGACAAAATTTTTGAACTCCTCTCATCAACCACAATCTGGTTGTAAGCAGATCTTATGTCTATTTTTGAAAAAAACTGCCCTTTATTTAATTTTGCCAAAATCTCTTCGATTCGTGGCAACGGATATTTATTATCTTCTAAGTATTTATTAATTGTGATCTTATAGTCACCACAAAGTCGCAACGTGCCGTTCTCTTTCAGAACTGGAACCAAAGCACTAGCCCATTCACTATTCTCGATAGGTTCAATGACGTCCTCAGCAATCATGGTTTCTAGCTCTTTTGCCACTGCCCCCTGGAAAGCCAATGGAATAGGACGAGCTTTACAAAACACAGGTTTTGCCCCAGGACTCAACTCTAAAGAAACTTTTGAATATTTATAATGACCAATTTTGTCACTAAACAACAAGGGAAATTTATCAACAAGGCTCTTTACTTTATCCTTTGCATCAAGGTCAATGTTTAACAAAGTAAACTTAATTTTAAATTTATTTAAAAAATCTCTACCTAATAGATTGGGTCCTCCATTGCGGACAACGTACAATTTCAGGTCCCGCCCCTGTCCTCGGAGTTCTGCGGAGACAGTGAAGTACCCTTCTGGTCTAAAAGTTTCACCATTATATCCTCTCAGAAGTACACCGTCTTTGTTTAATCTATATTCAGAAAAAAAATTTGTATAAGTATCAAAACCACAAGCAGATATGGCTGAGCCACTATCGATTAAAAATGAAAATATTTTGTTATTAATTTTTAATTCAACCAAAAATTCACTTGAGTGTGGACCTCCAAGTGAAGAAACATTGTAAATTTCGGAGAAATAATTATTTTCCACCACAGCAGAGTCAGCTACCTCAGAGGAGTCATCAGAAAAGCTACTATCTAAATAATC